AAAATAGAAGTGGGATGCAGCTCAGTGGTAGAGCAGAAGAGCACCCTTGGGTTCAGTCCCCAGTGCAAAAGTAAATAAAATTGAGGATTATGCTACTAATAGGAGAAGAGGTGTTGGTTGGCAACCAGAAGATTCTACCCCCAAAGCCAAATGTACAAGGCTGTGATGGGGATCTGCAGACATTACCCTCCCTCAGGTCCCTCTCTGGGACAGCGAGGAGCGATGGCCGTGGTTCCTGGGAGTTTGGCTCAGTCCACTAAGGGAAGGAATCTCTTCTAGCAGGTTCTTTTGAGGTGGCCTGAGCACCCTGTGGGCAAGGTGAGGTCAGGAGCTGGAGGAGAGTGTCCCTGTGTCAGGGTGGCCTCGGCCTCTGTCCCCTCCAGGGTTCCCAACTTCAAGGTGCTGACCTTCCTTTGGCTGTCGGGCGGGTGCTCTGGCTCACCCAGGTTGCTGCCTGCTTGGAGAGGGCTGACGATCGGGGTCCAGAGCCCGCTTCCTAGGAGCCCTCAGGTGATACAGGCTGCTCCCAGCCTTGGTCCCAGCCCTGCTCACCCTCCCTGCCTCTGGGCCACCGCCTCCAAGAAGCCTTCCCCGTCCCTATGATAAAATGGGAACAAGGCTGTTCTCCCTGTGCCCTGGACAGCATGGGCATCAGCATGCCCATGTATAGCAAGAGAGAGGCTTTGCAGGGGGAGGGCTGCTGTCACTGGATTGCTAAAAGCCCTTCTCTGCACCAGAGAAGCAGGTTGAGCCTTTGTTTGCCGACTGTCCTCATAATTGACAAAGGGGCTCCGTAAATATTTAATAAATGACTTGTCCTCGTTGCCGCCTTGAGTTGGCTCTAGGTTTTGCTTGCAGGTGGGGGCAGAGAGCCGCGGCCACACCCTGTGCTTCAAACTCAACCCAAGCACCCTAGGCTCAGAGGAGGCAAGTCCCATTCTTCAAGATCACCAGCCAGGAAGCGCGAGGGGGAGATGAGCACTTCCTGCGGGGGGTCTCTCTAGCCTCTGCTGCTTGGAGTGAGAGGGACCAGGCAGGAAGCCTGTGGCCCTTGTTAAGTGGGTGTGTTTTACCCAGTTCCATGCTGGGCCAGGATGACCCGTTCAGGATTCCGTTTCTCTCACTCATCAGGAGGCCCCTCACCTTGGAAGGAGTCACATTTTATTCTTATCTCCTCTCCCCTGTACCCTCCGTGGCCTAGCATGTTCCAGTCACAGGCGAAGGTCTGATGGATCAGCGAATGAAAATGATCTGTGGTGACTCCAGGGGTGTTAGGCCTGGCTCTGCCACTTACTAACCGTGTGATACTGGCAAGTTAGTTAACTTCTCTGATCTTCAGTGGCTGTGGAATGGGGACCTTAGCACTTAGTCCTTCAGGTGAATATTGGCTGGAAGCCATCCATGACCCACATGTGAACTGAGCCATGTGCATGGACTAAAGCAATGTGGAAG